TCTTGGAATGGGATGGCCAGTCAAAATGGAAGGAAAAGAAAGAAGTGGAATTTGTGGGAGGAAGGAAGCGACAATGGAATGAAAGTAGAAAGGGAAGGGAAAAAGTTGGAGTTGTGAATCCTCTAAAGGAGGCAAAGATGGAAGACAACTGGTACTGGGAAAGAATCAGCAATGCTAGTTTTCCCTCTTCCTTTTAAAGACAATAAAACTAAACAATAAGGCCTTGTCTTCTGGGAAGAAATGAAAGGACCTGGTTCTGGAACAGCCACTATGTGATGTGTAGCCCACTAGCGCAGGTAGAAGTATCCCCATTTCATAAATTAGACTTTTATAGATTGTGACTTGCATGAGGTCTCCTAGCTAGTGTGGCAGAGCCTGGTTTTAAACCCAGGTCTGTTCTTTCCATTATAATGCAGGATGGCTTCTCTTTGTTCTTGAGGGGCAGAACACATGGGAGGATTTGGGAATACAGAGGGGAAGCATATGCTGATGGGAAAGCAGAGACTCAGTCCCTGCAGTCCTGTCTGGTATCCCTTTCCTGGGCCTAACCCTTTCCTGATGCTCCGGGGGTGCCTTGCCTCTCCATTTCTCAAGTGTGAGAAATGCTGGTGATTCCATATGTATTAGCAGGCATCCCAACGTTTTCAGAACTAAACTGATCTTACCCACTCCCCACCTTCTCAGTAATTGCACCCCCAACTTTTGCATTACTCCACTTAAATCTTTGGAATCATTGGTCCTTTTCATAAACCATCCAGTCTGTTGACAAGGTTGAGAATCCAATTGCTTCTCACTCGCTGCACTGCCATGCTACAGTAGTCCAAGCCATCAACAGCTCTCCAAAGTTCCCACAATGTTCAGACCCCACCCCCACCACCTCTCTGATTTCAGTGGCTACCACTCATTCCCTACTTACTCATGCAATCCCTCAAAAATGCCAGTGTGTGTCCATCTCAGGGCCTTGGCGCTTGCAGCACCCTTTGCTGGAGAGCGCTTTCCTTAGCATCAGCATGGATAGCTCCCTCACTCTTGGCAGGATTCAACTGCCTTCTAGGTGAGGACTTTTTGGACCACGCTATATATTAAATTGCAAACGTTTCCCCCTTTCATGCTTAATTTTCTCTATAGTGTTAGCACTATTTGATAGTTACGTTTTTCTTGATAACCGTCATAGTAGAAGGGAAACTCCAGAAGGACAAGGACTTTTGTCCGTTTTTCATTGCTATTTCCTTAGTGCCTAGAACTGTATAAGGCGCAAAGTAGGTGTTCAATAAATACTTGTTGGATGGGCAACTGAGGATACCTGGAAAACCATCATCGCACAGCAAGGTTCTGGCCCAGCTGTTGCTGCTGTGACCAGAGTCCTTCCTGCCAAACTTTTAGAAATAATGAAATCAAGTTCCTCAGATCCCGGGTTGATGGCACCGGGGCCTCCAACCTTCCAAGAGTGAATGACGACCACTTTTCTCTCCTTTTTGTTTAGAACATCTGGAAGTGGGGCAGAAGGTCCTCGCACCCGTGAGTCAGCCCTGGGGAGGAAGTGGCTCAGAAGCGCCGCGCTCTGGCAAACGCGGCTTGCGGCAGCCGGAACGTCCCGGCGTGGCCATCGCGTGTGGCGGAAGGACTTCGGCGGAGCTCTTAGAGCGGATTGGGAGGGGCTTCCGGGCTGAGCGGCGTCAGGCCGGCCCGGTGAGTCCGTGGGTGCACGTCGGTGCGGAGTCAAGGCGGGGATCCGCTGCCTGGGAAGCACTGGGACAGGGAGCTGGCTGAGTGGCCGAGGCAGAGGCTGAATGGCTGTGACCGGCCTTGTTGGGAGTGAACGTCCGAGGGAGCGTTTGGAGGGGCAGGAGGGCACTTCCGTTTGGGGAGCTGCGATCTGGAGAATGGCCTCCTTCCCTAAGGCAGAGCGCGGTGTGGGATATTGTGGGTCTGGATTGGAGTTTGTGGCCTGCCTCCAGCTGTATGACCTTCAGAGAGTTACCAACCTTTGAGCCTTGAGCTCCACACCAGACAAACGGGACAGTAATCACCCTTGTCTATCTCACAGCTCTTGGCGTGGTAAGGTGTGCGGAAAAGCTTCGTAAATGGCGACGTTTGACGCAGATGTCATTAGTTTGCATGGGACACCAGTCACACGCAGGGGCAAGTGGCTTTTCTGGGGTTAGATTCCCAAGGAACGATCAGCATTATTTGTAGCAAGATGAAATATTGGGAAGTCATAGACCGTTGGAGATGCTGACCTAAGAGTTCACTGAGTACCTCTTTCTCCAGTATGCATAAATTGCTTCTCTAATAACAGCATGTAAACATCCGACTTCCCTTTGCACTCTTGCAGTTATGGGGAGCTTAATAATACCTCTGTCCTGTCCCTGTAATTTCCCAGTGCAGGCAGCTCTAATTAAGAAGTCTTTATAGGCAGTAAGCCCGAATTGTTCACGCTTGCAGTTTTTGCTCATTAGTTCTCACTTTGTTTCTGAACTTGCAGAGAATTAAAAGTAATAAACTCAAAGTACAGTTTAAGTACGGATGTGACACATAGCAGTAGCCACCTTTTAAAGAATTTGAATTTAGAAATATTGAGAACATTATGTTTGATTTTTGACATCCGCAGTTAATCCAAAATACTTAGATGGAGAATCAAAATATTCAATGTAGTCACCCTACGCTATATTACTTCACTTAGTTAAACCTACAAAGCACCAGCATAGTGTGTTGAAAGAGCACAGGTACTAGAATTAAATCATTTCTGTTTCTTCAGGATACTAAAGTGGATCACCACATTTTCTGAAACAAATGAATCTCTTCCAACACCAGGGAGTGGTTTGTTAATTCAGTGAGGCATACAGAATTTAAGCATATAATATCTGATTATAGGAGGTGCCACAGAAAGCAGTGATGTCGTAAAAGCAGTCTCCAACTGGTCAATAGATTTTAATTCTGGAAGTCCACTTACAGGTCAGTTCTTTAGATTTTTAAATATGTTTTTCTACAAAAACAATTATATAAATGGAGGTTAAGGTTTGATTATTGTACTTGTCACAGAAATTAATCCTTGCCCCTGCCAGTGGTGGGATTTGTTTTGGCCTTAATCTCTTGGTAGTTAAAGGATTCCTTTGATCATTTATGGAAGAAGGAAACAGAGCTAGCTGTGAAAGTTGGATGTGATAAGGATGTTCATCACTTGGTTACAGTTAATAGGTTCCCCCCACCAACAGTTTTATCCCTGATTATTAAATACATGTTCATAGTGAAAATATGAAGAAAAGAAAAGAATAAAAAAGCAAGAACCCAATCACCCTTAATCCTATCATCCAGGTGAAACTGTTTGCCATTTACTGAATTACCAAATAGTTCCTTTATCTTTTTTTTTGTAGTAGAAATGTTAGCATAGGTTTAATACTGTTGCCTTTGAATTATCAGCCATAGGAATTTACCATTTATAAATAATAAATTTCACTTGAAAACTTTTGATTATGAGAAACTCACATAAAGGTGGAGAGGTAGTTAAAGGTGGAGAGTGAATCACCATGTAACCATCACTGAGCTATAATCACCATTAGGTGTGGCTAATCTTTCAACTCTACACTCATTCCCACTTCCCATAATTCTATGGTTCTGTCCTGTGACACATCTATAATGCATTTTTGTTTTCTTTTTAATTGTAAAAAGATGCTTATTTCCACTGCTGCCAAATTTGTGTATAATGACTCATAGTCTTTCTTGGGGATGAGAAAAAGTTCCGTGAGGGTTTTGTAAAGTATTTTCATTTATTAACAATTACTGATTAAAATGCAAAGAATTAGACGACCTTGCATTCTGAATTTCTTTTACTTTGTATGTTTACTGCCCTCTCATCAGTTTTCAAGTGTAATTGTATTCATTTGGTGACAGACATCCTTAGGAAATTAACAATCTAATGATTTTTACAGGTTATTGAATAATATAAGACATTTAAGAAAAAATGGATGAAGAACCAGAAAGAACTAAGCGATGGGAAGGAGGCTATGAAAGAACATGGTGAGTAGGACATTATTACTCTTTATTCTTTTTTAGACATTGTCTTTTTTTTTTTACAACTTTATTGAAGTATATCTTATATGTTAAAATTCATCTGTTTCCAATATATAATAATTCAGTGATACTTAGGAAACTTACTGAGTTGTGCAGTCATCACCATAAATAACTTTTAGAACATTTTTGCCACTAATGTTAAGATCCCTCATGCCCATTTACAGTTAATTCCATTCCCTCCTCCAGCCCTAGGCAACTACTAATCCACTTTCTTTCTCTACAATTTGCCATTTCTTGACATTTCATGTAAATGTAATTGTACATTTGGTCAGTTATTTTCAAAGGTCATCCATGTTGTAGCACATGTCCGTAATTCATTCACTTTTATTGCTGAATAATATTCTATGGTTACACCATGTGTTTATTCATCCATTCACCAATTTATGCATATTTACATTGTTTACAATTTTCACCTTTTTTGAACAATTTTTATAATTATATGTAGTATTATAATGCAACAGATAATTATTGCTTATAGGGAGATTCTTAAAGAAGATGAATCAGGATCACTTAAAGCTACAATCGAAGACATTCTCTTCAAAGCAAAGAGAAAAAGGTATGTGAACTTTTTGTAAGTTACAAAAGATAAAAATATATTCCTTTAAGCCTTTCTGTCCACCTATACCTACTCCTCAGTACTTCATTTCAGCTGTGTTTCAACAAAACTGACCTGTAGCCTTCTGAATAGGGAGAGGAAATGGCAACCTAGTGCTCCAGCAGGGAAATGGGTTTTCAGGGACTATCCAAAATGCCTGTGATTACGTGGTGCCCATAAGTTAATAATTCACTTCTCTAGAAAAATGCAGGTTAATTGAAACATTGTATTGATTTTTTGGGTAGTATATGGCATTCCACTGAAATGTTTGTGTAATTTTAACAGAGTATTTGAGCACCATGGACAAGTTCGACTTGGAATGGTATGTTATTGTTTTTTTCCTTTACCCATACAGAGCTGCCTTGGATTAGGGAAACATTCTGGCTTGATAGAATTGACAATAGTAAACAACAAACCTTTTAAAAGAATATACTAAAAATATATATGAAGAATATATGAATACTAAATGCCCTTTTTACTTCTTGGTCAAAAGGTATTTGAAAATTGTCCTTACGCTCTTTTTTTTTTTGGTAGATGCGTCATCTTTATGTGGTAGTGGATGGATCAAGAACAATGGAAGACCAAGATTTAAAGCCAAATAGACTGACATGTACTTTAAAGGTATAGTAAAATTAATCTTATACTAAATGTGAACTAGGACATTGAATTCTAAAAGAATTTTTTTTACTATAACAGCTCTCTAGAGATATAATTCACACACCATAAAATCAACCCATTTAAAGTACACTATCAAAAGTTTTTTGTATATTTACAGAGTTGAGCGACATTACCACAATCAATTTTGGAGCATTTTTATCATTACTGAAAGGAAACCCATACCAACTAACAGTCACTCTTCCTTGTTCCCCAACCTGCTCCCAGCCCTAGGCAACCATGAATGTATTTTTCTGTCTGTAGATTTGCCTATTCTGAACATTTCATATAAGTAGAATTATACAATATGTGGTCTTCGTGACTGGCTTCTTTCACTTAGTATAAAGTTTTCACAATTCCTCCATGTCGTAGCATTTAGAGTCAGTATTTCATTTGTTATTTTTGCCAAACAATACTCCAGTGATGTAACATTGGGTTGTTTCCATGTTAGGGGGCCGTTATAAATAATGCTGCTGTGAACACTGATCTGCAGATTTTTGTGTGGATCATGTTTTCTCTTTTAAAGCTTGGTTTTAGCTTGGGTATTTCATGTTTTATCCACTTTTCTGTGGTCTGAGAGACTAGCAGCTGGATGGAGTGGTATGTAAGAGAGGAGGCAAGTTCAGCTTCGGTGGTGTGCAGACCATGTTAGATTTTCTGGGCTCCATTTTATCTTCTGAGATTATATTGGCTGTCCTGTGTCTTGGTTCAGTTGAACTAACTGGGTGGGGGAGGGAGAATATAATGCTTCTTCATGAGGCGATAATCCAGGCCTTGGGCTCTTTCCCCCAATTAAGTCTGAGGTTTGGATCCTTCTCTTCCAACAAGGAAAGTTAACTCTATTGATTTCTTTCCCTATTTATTCATAATTTCCCAGCAGAAGAGAGAAAAGAAAAGAATAGTCTTTCTCTACATTTCTTTCCAAAAGCAAGAATATTTGTGAAATTTCTCAGGACTTTTGTGATTCACGAATGGGGCTTAAGAGGAGAAGTGTGAGGTAGAAGCCAAGTTATACTGCTCATCTCCATTCTGCTCCAGAACCCTCTGTTTCTTTTCTTGTGCACAAATTTTTTAAATTAATTGGTTAGATTTGTTCTTCTTCTTGTCTATTGGTGAATGTGTGTGTATTTGTTTTAATATCAGTCAGGTCTCTATAATTGAATGTCCACAACATTCTGTCTTGAACATACTTCAGTGGGAATGTTACTGCTACAACCACAAATATTTTCAGTGTCTGCCATAACCTCCAGGATGTGAAATTCTACTTTTTATTTTTAGCAGAAACTGAAACAGTTGGCCACTTCTCCTTTCTTGAATGCTTCCTTCTTTTGACTTTGGTGGTGACATAACAGTCTCTGATGTTTCCCTCAGGCTTCTCTGTCCAACTTTAAAATGTTGAAATGTCTTAAGACTTGGTCATAGTCCTCCCTCTATTTTTCTGTCTACTCTCTTCCCTTGAGTAATATCATAAATTCCCATGAATAAATCTTTTAAAGAATACATTTTTTTTTAAGTTAAAACAAACTGTAGATAAGTAGAAGTACTACCAGATCATTTAGGGAAAGATACACCTAAATAGCTCATTGTTTATGTCCTTAATTTCTGCCCTCCCATCCCAAGTCAGGATCTTGCTTTGTCAGTTATCCCTTTTCTTTATTGAATCTTCATTCTTCTTTGACTTACTTGAATCATTTTCCTAAGCTTATAAACACATTGAGATTATTCCTAATTTATCAAAACCTGTCCTCAATTCTGCTCATTCTCCTGTTCCTGTCTTCATTGGATATTTTCCTTGTTTATATTGTTTCTGTCTTACATGCCCAAATGGTTCCATCTTTCAAGGCCTAGCTCAAACCTGTCTCATCACTTACCATCCAAATTGAAGTTATTAATACTGTAATTTTCATTTATTTGTTATATTAAAATTAATTATTTATTTACTATTTTCACTACTAAACATATTTTGAAAATCTGTAAGCTTAAAAATCATGAGAAGTGATGCTTAATAATAGGTTTACAAAACATGTTCTCTATGGTTGTTATTTTGCCCTTACCTACTATGTGCTTTTTGTTTTCTTTAAACAGTTGTTGGAATACTTCGTAGAGGAATATTTTGATCAAAATCCTATTAGTCAGATTGGAATAATTGTAACAAAGAGTAAAAGAGCAGAAAAACTGACTGAACTATCAGGTATGCATAAAATTACCTCAGTAGGAGTAAAGTACTTGGCTTAATTTACCCAACCTCATAAACCCTGTTCATAATGTTGCCTAATAAGTAAAATGAAACCTTTTGTGCTCTCTAGGTAAAACACTTAATAAACCCTCCATTAAACTTTTGGTATCTAAGATGAATTGTTTTAAATTGAGTTTTGCACAGTGGTGAGTATTATTACAGTGAATATAAATGTGTTTGTTTAAGATCTATACACTCTTTATCCCAAAAGCAGTAAGATAAAATTATTGTAACCATACAGAAAATCCACTTAGTCTTAAGATTAATTTTTTTTAAGTTAGTTAAACCTCTCATTTAAAGAGTGAAGGGTATAAAAATTGAATTGTAGTTATTGTTAATGATTGAATCTTTCTGCTTGCATGACATGCTGGACTGAATTTTATTCTCTTAAAAGATAATAATGGCAGGTTTTATTTGGTTTGCATATGTGCTGTTAGAGACTTACATCACTAGTTCTATTTATTTTCTGGTAAATATACCATCCCTTATAAGTGGTTCTCTACCTTTCATCCTCACCAGTGCATATAAGGATGACACACTTTTATCATTAATAGTTTTTCACTGTGGCAGTAAGGAGTGAAATATGTTAGCCTGGAATGATCCAAGAAACTTAACTGTGAATAATGAGAAAAAATCTCAAAGTATCTTAAGTGCAAAAGGGAAATTATTGGCTCATGTTCAGAGGTGGGCTGATTTCACATATAGTTATTTCCAAGGGTCCAGGCTCTGTCTGGCTTCATTTTCTGATAGGTTGTCTGTGAGGTAAAAGGATATCTGTTAATAGCCCCAAGTCGACATGACCCCTGTAGTCTGTACCTTCAGCAGAAATCCTAAAGAGGACTCTTACTGACCCTGCTATGATCAGCCCATTCATGCACAGTCAGAGTGGCCAGGGGAATGAAGTATATTATAGGCCTGGATTACACACCTGTTTCTGGAGCAGGACGGAAGCAGGGTAAGCTCCATCTAAACTGCATGGCCTAAACTGGATTATTATGCACTGAGGGAAGGATGGTTCTCCCAAGGAAGGGATGTAGGGCCAGCCCTCCTGCCTTCTTCTTCCCTAAATTAATAGTAGTTTTCTATTGGTGCCAGGGAAGTCAAAATGATAGGGATGAAAAATCCTCTGGAGATTCTGATAGGCCTCTTGAAGGTATCTTCTCTCCTTCTCATCAGAATCACTGCTGTAAACTACACCAATATAAAGTATCATGCTTTTTTCATATACTGACAACGGGAAATGAAAAAATAGAAGTGGATAGAGAGCCAGGAAATCTCAGTTTGAGTGCTTATCTGCCATTGGGTAGGTATATGTCTCTGGGCAAGTCATATAACTTCTTAGATTTGTTTCTCACAAATTGAGGGATTTGGATTTAGTGAAGTACTTTTAACTTCTAAAACTTGATGATTCCAAGAATAAATACTTGCAGTATATGTTAAAATATAGTAAATAGTTAATATTTTAAAACTTACTTAGATAAATAAGAACACCAAGAAGTTTCAAGTAGATGAATGAACAAAGAAGACAGATAATTCATACCAGACTTAAAATGGAAAATAAATAACTATTAAAAAAGTTTAGCCAAGCAAGTGATCAAAAACAAAACAAAAAACTGTTCAATGATGTTTTATTATTTTATGTATTTTAAAGCAAAATAAAGTTTCAAAAGTAGTGTATTGCTTGCTGAACCATGGAGAAACTGGTACATTTTATAATGTTGATAGTCTGATTAATTAGTTTAATATTTTGGAGGAAAGACCCATATGAATGGTTGTTCCGTGAAATTATACTTAGGGAATGTTATGAAAGAAGAAAAAGCTGCACCCTACAAATAATACTCTTTGCATTAGTATGTGTAATAGTGACAAATTGGAAATTACTTTAATGTTCAGTATGGAAGTAGTTTGATGAATTATACTATATGATAAAATCAATTTAATAATGTTTTCATTATTAATTCATATAAAGACTGAAATAAGAAAATGTCTAAAGAATATCATATTTCATTGAGTCTCAGATTTCATCATTTTAAGATACCTTTATTTTATGAGCCATCAAGAAGGAAGCAAGCACTTTAGCAATTAAACTTTGACACAGTGTCAGATGACATGTGAATGGTTCATAACCAGCTTCTTGGTGATTTGATACGTCTGTCAACTATTCTAAAGAATTTGGCAGTTTCTCTTTCCTTCATTTGTGTTGCTTGGCATGAGATAACAATGTTTGGAGGTGTTATTTCAGTAACAAGATAACATAGCTTTGTCTATTTGTGGAACTGCCTCTTTCTTAGTTCTTAGAAAGTTCTTGTTTTTTTCTCCTGAAGAAAAATGTGGAATTGCAGGCATTCTTCTGTCAATGAACTTCTGCTTCACTAATAGCAAACTTACACCACACTGCTCTGTTCCGTGCCTTTCTACATAAAAATTTAGCCTTTCTAAAAAGACCTTAAATCACAGGTAAACTAAATGTGCTTAATGTAAACAATGTACGTAACACAGTTGAAGCAACGACACATCAGTGACCATCATAGGTTCCCACACAGCAGCAAGTGATGGTAAAACACAGGATTCCAGAAGTGTTAAATCTATTAGTCTCAAAATGATTAAATAGAGATAAAAGTAAAAAGTCATGCATCCTAAGCTAACACTATTTAAAATTTGTGTTAATAAAGAGATTATTTCTATTGTTTTTCAATATGAAGTGAGACTATAACAAACCTTTCTGATAAAACTTATTAAAAATGGAAATTGAAGGGATTCTGTTCTCTAACATCATAGATATGTAAAGTTGGGGAGAAACAAAGTTCCATAATGTATATATAAAATTCTATTAAAAGTAGATTATTCCATTTCTACTTTAGGAAACCCAAGGAAACACATAACATCTTTGAAGAAAGCAGTAGATATGACCTGCCATGGAGAACCATCTCTTTATAACTCCTTAAGCATGGCTATGCAAACTCTAAAGTTAGTATTTCACATTTATTTTTTACAATTGATTTCAAAGTTTTTAAGTGAGTTAAGTTGAAAGAGTATGTTCATATGCATCTCCATAATCCCAGCTATGATGAAATCATTATTAAAAGGAATACGTAATGTCATTTATGATGTTTACTATGGTGTTGGTCATTGTAGTTGGTGAGGTATATCCTTAAAGGTCTTTAAAAAATATAGTAGTGATAGTAGTATGAAATAAATATGTTGATGAAAAATAAATATTTATTGGAAACTGTGGAATGTAATCTGGTATAATGATAATGAATTTTTTGTACATTTATTGACTTTATTAATTTATTTTGAAATATATCTGTAAACTAATAGTATACTTTGCAAATTCAGCTTTGTGGAATATAGCTAAGACCCAAGGAAGTATTCAATATAGTTGAAACTTGTATATTTTATTTCTGGATAGTCCATCCTGATTCAGGTTTTTATGCCTTTATATAATAGATATTTTTCTAGTTTTAGAGTAGATGAGGAGGTAACACGCATAATAAAGGTAGGCACAATAGCAGTGCAAGTTAAGAGCTGAGAGCCTAACAATGGAGATGTAAACAGGATATAAGTAGCTATAAATGACTGATGAAATGGCTCTAAAAAATAGAAATCTCTGTTTAGTACAGGGGAAGACAGCTCATCACATCTTAAAATCCCATAAGCCATTATGTAATTAAATACTACACAAAAATTAATGTATACAAGGAGGAGCCAAGATGGTGGCATGAGTAGGACAACAGAAATCTCCTCCCAAAAACATATATATTTTTGAAAATACAACAAATACAACTATTCCTAAAAGAGAGACCAGAAGATACAGTACAACAGCCAGGCTACATCTACAACTGTGAGAACGCAGCGCCTCGCAAAGTGGGTAAGATACAAGCTGCGGCCCGGCGGGACCCGAGTGCCCCTCACCCCAGCTCCCTGCGGGAGGAGAGGAGTCGGAGCCGGGACGGAGAGGGAGCCCAGGACTGCTAAACACCCAGCCCCAGCCATCCACACCGGGAGTGGAGACACACAGTGTGTGGGGTGCTGGATACTAGGGAAACGGGACAGTAACACTTGTGAGCAGGTCCCCACAGCCAGCACCCCTGGGACAAAAGAAAAGCGAGTGCTTTTTGAAAGCCTGTCCTCACAGCTGGACGGAAGCTTCCCGGCGCACTCAGCCCAGCAGCTGGGAATCTCGGGGAACTTCAGGCACCCTAACCACTGGGCGGCAGCGCAGCTTGGAGGCCCCTCACAGCGATAAACAGCCTCCCGCCTGTTCCCCCTCTTG